GTACTCAAATGAAAGGTCTCGATGAGTGTAACATTAGGATGAGCTTATATCTTAAAAAATGTCAATAGTTGACAAGATACAAGGTCATTTCTTAATTATTGATATTTTCAAAAATGTAAGCTCATCCTGATATAACGCTCATCAAGAGCTTTCATTTGAGTATCCACATGCATTTTGATATATTTTTCATATATACATTTATATATAAATATATGAAACCTTGAAAAGGCAAAAATTCAAGTCAAGTCCTTTGGAATGACACTAAATTTCACTAAAAAAAACCAATTTTATCATATGACTATTCTGGAGACAAAATTTTTCTTATTCTCTTATTAGTATAGATTATTTTATCTCAAATAAAATCAATTTTTTAAATTCTACTATAAACAAGTCAAAATTTTGCTGTTAAAAATTTTTTTATGAAAAAAAATCCTCAGTATCATTAATGTAACTAATTAAAAGAAAAAAAAAAAAAGCAGTAAATTTCCCAAAGCAATTTTTAACCCCATAAAAACTATAGAGTAATAAAATAATAATTACTAATATAACATTTTATTGTAATTTTGCATGTGTAATAACCCAGAACGACCGCGTCATCACGTAAAATTGACTCCAATGCTGAGTGTGATGATCGGGGTGGTGGCGGCCCTGGTAATAGTAGCAGTAATCGTAATGATCGTACTGAGAATACAAAATGGGAACCCTGACGACCAGGGAAAGCCGCATCTGGAAGATCTTGACAAGAATACAAAAGTAATACCAATCCAACGAGAACTTAGATTCCGTGAGGGATGTAATTTACTTGTCGACGAGAAACACACTACCGGCACGTTTGGAAAATCGCTGGAGGCCAGCGCCGGCGAACTGAGCGAGACCGACGATAAGAATCCTGATATAATCCCCCAACAAGTTGCCAGTAAGATATTTATCTCTCCTCAGTCTCTTTATTTATCGATGCTTCGACGGCCCTCCAATCTTTTTTAATCAACTCTTGTTTATTAATTATTTTCTTTTTCTTCTTGATTTTCCTCGCCAAGCCGCTGCAGAAGAGCCCTCGGATTACGTGAGGAAAAGGCGTCTCCAGGCGGTATCTACTATAGACACCTCGCCCTCTCGAAGTCTGCTGGAGCAGCCACCGCTCCAGCAACAAGCCCTTGCAGGCCATGGGAATTACGTCGGTTACTGTACCATACGAAGTGGTATGCCATTACGTGAACTATCCGCCTTAACGTCAAGTAAACACAAGAGCGTAAGTGTTAATCAACGCGAGCTAATTCTGCTTTAGGATACATGCTAAGTCAAATTCTCAAACACATTTCTGACACTCTTCCTATCTTTGCTACCTAAACCTTCAGTAAACACTTTATTAATTCTATCTTTTAGATTTTAATTGTACAAGGGTAAAAAATATTCCTTAAGAATTACAATTAAAATTTTTTTTTTTATAAAAAATAACATTTTAATTTAAATAAAAATTTTAATTAAGGGAAATAAAATATTGAATATTTTTAATAATTAAAATTATGAATTCTGAACATAATTTTTTTAATAATTCAAAATCATTGACATTCTTTCAATAAATTTATTTTATAAATCAATCTTTACTTTTTATTTTATATTTTACATTTTTACACTGAAAAAAAAAAATACTTTTTATAAATCACAATTTATATTTTTTTTGTTTTAGTAAAAAATAACATTTAAATTTAAATAAAAATTGAGTTCAGGAAAAATAACATTTTGAATATTTTAAATAATTAAAAGTATTTATAATTTTTTTAATAATTGAGAAATTTTAAAAATCAAACTTTATTTTTTATTTGACATTTTACATTTTTACACTCAGAAAAAAAAATACTCTTTAGAAATCACAATTTAGATGTTTTTTAGTAAAAAATAACATTTAGCTTTAAATAAAAATTGAGATCAGGAAAAATAAAATATTGAATATGTTTAATAATTAAAATTACCAATTCAGAGCATATAATTTTGAGCAATGACGTTTTATCGGTAAATTTATTTCATAAATCAAACTTTATTTTTTTTTTTTTATATTTGAAATTTGTGCACTGAAAAAATACTCTTTTTAAAAAATTCCAATGTATTTTTTTTTGTCAGAAAAATTGGTCAAATTGATTAAAATAATTTTTATTTAAATATTTAAGAGATAAATATTCATATTTTTTTATCAAAAAATTAATTTGTGGACATAACTTTTATTTTATTAATTTTTTTCTCAGTTTAATAACTTTTTTAAAAATCGTTGCTATTAAAATAAAGTCCGCCTAGTTTACATTTATTCTTTTACAACTCTAACTTTGCGTCAATAAATTATGCAGTCGAGCTCAACTTAAATATTTATTATTAATTCGATAAATAAATGAGTAACTGGTGGATTAATTTGCTCGGAAAGTTATTAGCACAAACTATGAAACTAAGAACACAATTTCTATTTTCACTAAATTTATTCAGATCGGGTTACTCTGTCGAGAATTATAACGTAAGTTTGTTATTTTTTGTCCCTTAGCCGATCTTTAATAACTAGGTGCATTATTCAACGAATAATTTGCGTTTTTAATAATGAAAAAATATTTATTTACCGGATATGTATTAAATGTTTCAAAAGAAAATATTTACGCGAAAATTTGTGTAAATAGTTAACATTTTTATCTAGATTCAACTTTATATATTGTGTAAATAATGTAATTAAAATAACTCTTTGCGGACCGAAGAATTTATATTGATTATAAATTTATTTGTTTATTTATTGTACGTCAAATTACGAAACAAATATTGAGTTGTTGATGTTTGTATAAATTAAAATAAAAAAAAAACTTTTTTTATTTTTATTTTAAATTAATTAAAAAAAAATATTTTTAATTGTTATATGTCTGTTAAATTTAGTACCAATGTATTAAAAATTTCGTATTGTATAATTTAATTTAATTTTCTCTACTTACTCAATCTATTTGAAAATTCATTAAGCCCTCAAGGGTAACAAACACTTAGATCAATCTGAAAATGATATAAAATCCTCAATCCAGGTAGAATTATCTCTGGTATAATTGATATATACTCAGATACTCCTTCTAAAATGCATCAATACCGCTCGGAAGTATCAACAACTTAATTAAACGCAGCGAATATGATTTCTAAGTAACTAAGCGGGTTTTATTACTCTGTTTAGTTTATACCCCAATAATAACATGAACTAATTAATAGATGCTAATTGATGATACTAAAATTAGCAAATTTTTCTTTTACTTTATTTTTTTTAATAATTTTTTTCAATAAAAAATTTTTAGATGTTTGCTAATTTTATTTTAATCCCTAATTGATACTAAAATTATCAAACATTAAAAAATTTATTTATTCATTCATTTATTGAATTTAAATGCCAAGGCATAAAGTCAAATAACAAGAAGTAAATACATAGAATTCTATTTCACATAGGTAATATAAATAAAATTAAAAGTATTAGCTTAAGTATAAAAAATTTAATATTATTCATAAATAATACTAAAAGTGAATAATACTTATAAAGTGATTCTTATCTTTGAAATTTTTAATAATTTTTTCTTTCAAATTTAATTTAAAAATTTTTTTTTTTCTTAAATTTTTTCTTATAGATTTAAATTTATCTTCTCTTTGCAAATACTATGTATTGTATAAAATCATTAATTCTAAACATTCTATACACAAAAATGTAACATATTGTTGTAAATTGCCGAGGGCGTTTCTTTAAAAATAAATAAATAAATATAATTGAAATTTGAAGTATAGCTTGAGCAAATAAAAAATTTAGTACATTCAAAAAGAGTAGCATGGTTACAATTTTAAATATCTTAATATATAAATTTTTACACTTTACCAGTATTTCTCAGTAATTTAAATAGAAATTTGATTTTTTTGATTTTTTGAATCAATAAAAATTATAAGTTAAAAATATTTTTTTTTTTAATTTTCAAACGTCAACTAATTAAAAGGATCTAGTTTCAGCCGATGATGAACAACCAAGTGTACGAAACAGGAATGTGTACCCTGCCTCGACAGCACTGGCCAAGTCCAGGGATTTCGCATCACCAGTCGATGACGATGACTATGAATCCGCCTGTGTTATACACCGGTCTCGGGGTTCTAAGGACCTGTCCCAGTGCAACGATCCTCACGAAGGACCACGAAGCGCCGGCATCGCGTGTGATGGTTCCTCAGCAGAGGTGCGTGCAAACTTCCTCAGCCTCCTCGAAGGACTCCTCTGGCATGCCAATGGCCCAGGGCCCGGTCACCAAGAGGGAGAGCTCCGTGTGACCTACTACCCTTAATTTAAATTTTAACTTTAATTTAAATCTTAACAGGATTGAAATCTCTCGCTCGTCAGCCTTACATTTATCCAGAATTATTTATTTTATCGTTGGCATAAGTTTTTAATCGCCACCTCATCAACTGTTCAGACTGTACAAAACTGCGACGATCGATTTATTTCGCCATACACGTACACGTACACAAAACACCCTCTACTCACCCTACTCCGCTCCTCGACACACAAAGTAATACCTACATTCACTATTAAAATAATAATAATAGAAATAACAGAATAATACAACACACCAACTACAATTACAACAAAAGAGACCCAGCATCAACCAACTAACTAACCAACTATTTTTTTGCCTCTCTACGTTCGATCAAGTGCCCTTTTTGCATATTTACAAAGGACTTAATCAACTACTTTCGTCGGGACACTTGTCGTGTCATTTTTTATTATCAATTAATGAAAATAATAATAATAATATTTATAATAATTGTAATATTAACTCAAGACGAGGGAAATTTTTATGAGATTGAAGACGATAATTAGACGAAGCTAACAGTTGAAAAATTTTTGTTTTTTTATTGAGATTAATTTCTTTTTTTTTTTTTTTGAGTGAAGATTTTAGAGAATAAAGTTTCTTAAAGCTGCACAAGAAGTTTACTCAAAAGAAGAAATCTTGAACGGGAATTAATTGAAAGAATTTGTTGAATTAAGAAGAAAAGTTTTTTAAGTGAGTAAAATTTCTTGGTTTATAATTTTTTTGTTTGAAATTAATTAATATTTATTACAAAATATTATTAAGATTTTTTATTATTTTGTTTATGAGTTGATAATGTAAAGTTTAATGAAAATTGTTTGTTGATTTTTATTTAAGTAAATTTTTTAAAACAAAGTATCTTAAAGCGATATTAATTATTAAATTATTTTGACTTAAAAGAAGAAATTTAAAAAAAAAAAATTTTTAAAAGTTTAAAATTTTTTCATTTAAAATAGTTAATATTAAAATTTTTTATTTATTTTTAGTGAGTAAATTAATGAAGTTATAATTTTATATAAAAATTAGTTGCAAAATTTTATATTATCCAAAATAACAATAATTAAAATGAGATTTACTTTGTTAAATAATTAAACACAAATTTTCTTCTAGAGAAATTTTTCTAAAATAATTTATCTTTAAAAAAAATTATTTTTATTCAAATGAAGAATTTTTTTTTGACGGAGAAGAAAAATTCTTGAACAGTAAAACTTATAAAAAATTTTTTTATTTAATATAAATTGATATTTTTTAAAAAATAAAAAATTGATTTTAGGTCCTCCAAAAAAACATTAATTAAAATGAGTAATTTGTATAAAAAATGAACCAAAAATTTTCCAACTGCGTAGCATTATTATAATTATTTATAATCACAATAAATAAAAAAAAAAAATAAAAAATGTGTGAATGAAATGAATGACTTGTTGTAAATATCGAAATATTGAATATTTTATACACATTTCTAGCACTTCATTCATTAAACCATTAATCATATTTGCCGGTATTAACGACATAAAACATTAAATTCAGCTGATTGATTTAATCGGGAGTGAAATAATCTGATATGAATATAAATATAGTTATACATATACATATATACATACAAATAAATGATATTGTGGATGTAATTACCTTCACCAACATTTGGAATTAGTTATACATAAGAATAAACATATAAATATATAAATAAAATATTATTGTAACGTGAAGAAATGAATGAATTTGAAATAATACCAGAATGGAGCAGACGCGCGTTTAAATAAAAAATTGAAGATTTAGTAATAAAATAATAAAAAAAGTAAAAATAATAAATTCTTAACGAAACATATCGTTCAGTTTTCCATCACGGAAACCGAGTTTGTATACAAAGAATAAATTCAATAGATAATAAACTTATAAAAGCGTTGTTGTGAATCGTAACATCGAGATTTTTATTACGAATACTTCTATTCGGTCTGCTTTATTCCGGTTGATATTGTTGTGCGTAATTGATGCGCAACAGTCTGTATAATGTGTATTATAAAAATATTACTGATGAAACAATAATTTCTCTTGCAGTCTGTCTACAAAATAAAAAAAAAAAAACTAATAATATTAATATTAATATTGATAATTGATAACATGAATAATAAATAATAAACATGACTTAAAAAATAAAGTTAAGCATTTGGAATGAATTTTAAATCATTCAAGTTATTTAAATAATTAAATTATATTAAAAGGTGGATTACATAAACTTTAAGACCAATTTATTCATTGAATCCTTGCATAACTTCTCCTTTGACTTTACTTGAAATTAAGTTGCCTATTAGAAAATTGGCTCGTTTTAATTAATAACTTTCGCAATATCAATGTAAGTGAACATTGAAATTCATTGATCATTTTTGTCTAACGTTAATGGAATTGATACGCGAATTGATCAACATTCCATTTTAATGATTTTACTTTGTCTATTATTTGTATTAATTTTTTTTCTCACCTTTTCTCTGAATTAAATGTGCATAGGGTGTATGATTAATTGAGCGCTTTGTTTTTATTTATCGCCCGGGAAAACATGCACGTAAATTTCCATTTGTTTTTTTAATTCAATTCTTGCTGTAAATTATGCAGTTTAAATTACGGTTCAATTAAAATGTTTTGATGCGTTATTATTATACAATCCACTGGATGGAAGGATTGTAATTGAATTATTAATAGTTTTATTATCCTTTCTTTATTTAAAACAAATTAAGTACATTTTTTGGTTTATTTATTTTTATTTTTTACAATTTTTTTTTTTTTTTTATGTTTGTTTAATTCTATTTCTGGTCATTATGCAGCTCTACTATTTTTGGTCTTATTGATTTTAGTTAATTATTAATTATGTCACCGTCTGAAATTATCAATTTCTATTGGAATTATTATTATTATTATTATTTAAAGCTATTTTTTTCATCTTCTATATTAAAATATTTTATTAATTATAGTTAAAAGTGAAAATCCCATTTTTTTTATTTCATAAAAATGTTCAAAATATTTTATTAATTACAATTAAGAAGAAAACTCCAATAATTTTTTTTTTTATTTCACATTATTTCAAATTTTGTTATAAAATAAAAAAATACATTATTATTTTTAAAAAAATGAAAATCAAAGTGAGAGAATTTATCTTCTTATAAAGTTAGCATTTAATATTTAATTGCAATTATTATTATTATTATTATTTAAAGCTATTTTTTTGTATTCTGTATTAAAATATTTTATTAATTACAGTTAAAAGTAAAAATCCCATTTTTTTAATTTTAAATTATTTAAAATTTTATATTATAAAATAAAATTGTTTAAAAAATACATAATTATTTTTTCAAAAATAAAAATTTTAATGAAGAAAAAAGATTAAAATCAAAGGAAGAGAATTTATCTTCTTACAAAGTTAGTTTTTAATATTTAATTAGTTCTTTCTTCAACTTACAATTTTAATGAATTAAAATTATTTTATTCATAATAAATTATGCAATTTAAATTATATAATCCATAAGTATCTTTAATATTTCTTCATTGATAATTTTTTATATTATTTTAATTCATTTAAAAAATATTTTAAAATTAAAAAAAACTAAGTTTAAATAATTAGGATCACAGTAATTTATTATTTATTAAATGCAATTACTTGTACAAAATTACATAAAAAAAAATTACCTCAATAATTAAAATAAAAAAAAATTAGCTTTTATTCAAAACTGTAATTATAAACTTAATTATTAAAATTAATCCAAAAATATCCAAAGCTGCATAACTGACATAAATAATTAACAAGTAAATTACAAAATATAATCACAACATAACAAAAGTATCAACTATGAAATAGTGAAAATTATGTGTGATTAAAGTGTGAAATTAATATAATAAATGTTCTGTATACCTAAAGTAAGCATTTTTAGGACTGATTAATATCTAGTATAAAAATTCCCATATTTTTTTTTATTTATTAATCGTTGTTTTTATTTCGCAAGTTTATTCATTGCCGGAAAAATTTTTTTAACAACTCACTAAAAATAAATAAATAAACAAACAAAAAAAATTTATCTGCCAGAAATATTTACATAAAAAAAAAGCGAATATTTTTTATTCAAAAAAAATAAGACCGAGATGTATAATTAAATAATTTTTCATATTTCTGTTATTAATCATAAAAAAAGTAGATGTATTTATTTAATAAAGTATTTTAAAACGAGCCACAATCTCGCTGTTCGCTCTGTTTGTGAATTAAGTAATAAAGAAGAAATAAAAAATAAAATTATCATTTGAATAAGTAAACTGCGAATAAGAGACAATTTTATATAAAACATTAAAAAGGAAACAATGTATTTTAATTAAAAAAAATTCATTATCCTAATCATAGATAGACACCTTTTTATAAAACATTTTCCCTATTTGAATATAATAATAATAATAATTCACGAGCTAGAGACGGGATTAAGAAGAATATTTATAAAAAAAAAAAAAAACCATACGTAAAATAAATTAAAAAATAAATAAGATACAGTAATGAAGAAACTTTGCTGTCATGTCAGTTTTGTTCGGAAATAAATGATAATAATAATAGAACATATGACGTCAATGGTATATGTAAATAATATAGGGCGTCTCGGGGATAATAACCGCAAGACGGAGATAAACTTCTAGATAAAAAGAAGAAGATAAAAATGAAAATTAATAAAATAAAAAGTGCACAAGCACCAATCTGTTGACTCACTGCCTATTTAATGTAACAAATAAAAATAATTATAAATTATAATGATAAGTTGGTAAAATATAAACAATTAAATTAAATGAGTTTAATTAATATCGGATTGATAGTCAAAAATAATATTTAAAATAATAAATAATGAGTAATTGTCTAAAGCTTAGCATTATATAAAAACAAACTGTATCCTTACTTGCATAACGTTGTTTTTTTTTTATATTGTAAATATTCTAAATAAATAATCGTTTTTATTCAAATAATATTACCGAGTTTTCACACTAAATTATTCCTATTATTTTATTTGTACTTTGGGTTTAGTCGAGTGCATTCGGATAATTGCATGTTTAATTAACAGGATTATTTTTTTTTTAATTTACGTGTAAAAAATAACAAAAAAGTTATCTTTGAAACAAATTAATTAATTAATAAGATTGAAAAAGTTATAGTAAATAATCTCTGATAAAAGTTTAGAAAGCGGTAGCAGTTTTGGTGCCTCCCAAACTATCAGAGATAAATAAATTAAATAGCTTTGTTAAAGAAGCAATTAAATTCTCTTAAACTAAAAAAAGTCTTACAAAAGTTAATAGTTAATACTTGATAGTAGTTATATATAATTTTACACCTTTCTCCTTCCAACTCGCAACAACTAGTATTGACTTAGCATACTTTTATAAAACAAACTTTTAGAATATTTAATTAGATTTAAACTGCTAAGTGCATTATATATAACTCGAAAAATTATAAATAAAATACAAGTGTGTTTTGCGTAAAAAATTAAACATAAATCCTTACTTGGAGTTTAATTAAATAATTTATATTATTGAGAGAATAAGAAAAATTTTATATCCAGGTCTTGATTTAAATTAGTGCCTTTTTAAGGTTTCATATCATTCTCACCAATAGTCACTTTATTATGATAAGTATTTAGACTGCACTCGAAAATGCTCTATCTCTAGATACATAATTAAAAAATGACCTTGTATCTTGTGAACTATTGACATTTTTAAAGATATAAGCTCATCCCGATGTTACACTCGTCAAGAGCTTTCATTTGAGTACCCACATCAATTTTCCATATATATTTCATATATTTATGTATATATGAAAAATATATGAAAATGCATGTGGGTACTCAAATGAAAGCTCTTGAATAGTGTAACATCAGGATGAGCTTATATCTTTAAAAACGCCA